CTTGTGGTGGCGGCGTGGCCACCTACCCATGCCGAAGTGAGGCTGGGCCACCACTGCCCCAAAAAAGGAAGGGTGGACCGATGGGCGGACAGACGGGCAAGAGAGCGACACAGGTGCGGAAGGCAGAGATAAACCCCATCCTTGGGTTTCCCCCCTGGTCACTGTCCCTGGGAAGAAGAGCCCAGTGCACCCCTGCCCCATTGCCCTGGGACCCCTGGCGGAGCAGAAAGAGGAGGCGAGGCGGAATCCCTGCATGCCAGCCCGATCCTGCGCCCGCTTCCCATTCAGCACCGTTACCTCCCCCCTCCACTCCGCTCTCCCCGGACAGTCCTTCCACCCACAGGCTGCGCCATGCTAGCCCTTCTGGGAGAGAGCCTGGCTAGGACAGGGAGAGGCGGCAGCGGCAGCAGGACCCCCTTTCGGAGCTTGGAGGTGTCTCCGTCCTCGGCTCTCCCCCATGTTGCCGTCCCTGGGAAGAGGAAGAGGAGCCCGGTGCACTCCCATCCCGTTGTGGAGCGGGAAGAGGAAGCGAGGGGGAACCCCGCGTGTCAGGCCCGATCCTGCGCCCACCTCCCATTCTGCGCCATCGCCTCCCCTTCCCTCTCCCCAGGAGGCCCTTCCACCCGCAGGCCGTGTCACACTGGCAGCACGGCCCCCCTTTTGGAGCTTGGAGGTGGCTGGAGGCTGGTAATGTTGGCCTCTCGGGACCTTAGCCAGGCAAGAAGCTGCCCGTGCAGACAGGGCAGGTGGCCAAGGGCGCAGCCTGGCAGGGCGTCCCCACTGCTGCGGCAAGGGGTGGCGGTGGCGGCGTCGGCGTCCGGGGCCCCGACAGCTCCTTGGGCACAACACCACCATGCCCTCCATCCCTACTGCTTCTACGACTACTACTACTCCTGAGGTGGTGCAAGGCAGGATCCGTGTTCTGGATTTAAAAGCTCCCTGAGCCTGGCCTGGAAAGGTGGGCTGGGTGCCCTGGTTGCCTCTGGCAGCAGCCAACGATGTGCACCAGGCATGCCTGGCACAAGCCACCAGGTATTAATTAGCCCTCCCTCCTCCTCCTCTTCCTCCTCCTGCCCCCCTCAGCCCATCCCATCGCCCTCTTAATGGGGGGCAGGAGACCCAGCCACCCCTGGAAAAGGATCCTCACCCCACCCTGTCCCCACCCCAGAACTGCACAGGGATTTGTTTGGACATGCAGGAAGGTGCGCCTCGACAGCTGCAGGCTGGCAGGGAAGGGGGAGTGGAGGACACCAACTTTTGGGTGGCTTTTTTTGGGGGGGGGGAAGGAATTGAGGGTTGGGTTTTGTTTTTTTGTTTTTTCAGTCCCAGCATGGGACTTTCTCTGTTTACATATTTTTATTTTGGTATATATTTTTTACTATAGCCCCCCCCTGCTTGGGAACAACAAGAATTAAAGTTAATAAAGTGTGGCCCTAATTAATCCAACACCTGTGTCTTGCCTCTTTATTCTGGGGTGGGGGTGGAGACAAAGGGCACAATACATGTAATGTGGTTGATTCATAGCTATCCTCCAACAACCTACTGCATAACAAGTATGCACAGACGTTCCACCCCCACCCCCATTCACGGATGCCAGCAACAGCAGCCCCCCCCCCGGTCCTTGGAAGAATGGTCTTCAACAATCCAGTCCCTGGCATTAAAAACATTGGCGACCACTGCTCTAGTCAGCATACAGAACAGCAGTTTTGCTTGGCATCAGAGTAGTTCTGGTCTTGTAGGTTTTCTACAGTTCTTTTTTTCTTAAAGAGAAGAACCTCACCATGTTATACCACTTCTCACCTATTCTTAATCTCTACTTAGCACACATTCTTCCTCACTCAGTGTAGCATACATACTGAATTCTGTTATTAAGATACACATCCCTTTAACTTTTCCCTCTCTTCCAGCTCTTGCTAGTCCCGTAGAGATGTTCAGCAAATCATTCTGGTTTCAGAACAATTTTGTAACATATGGCCCAAAATTGTGAGAGAAAGATAGTACAAGCGCTATACAGTATATTTTTTAAAAAAGCTGACCCTTTTCCCACTCATAACTTCATTGACAAATATATGGTAGGTCCTGCTTGCTTATGTGGGGATGAATGAACACAAATAAAGATCTCAGCAGAATATTTGGTGGGTGGAAACCTCTCTCTTCTGTGCCATATATTTCCTAAGATGAATGTTGTGCACAGAGAAAAATGCATGTTGTGCACAGAGAAAAATGCATGTTGCATTTTACATTATTATATGTAAAATATAATATCAATTATATATATTTAGCAATTTATTTTGCTCAAATCAATATCTATACTATAACAAATATTTTAACATCTAAATATTAATATTTTGCAAAATATTGATGACAATGTGTGATTGAAGCAGTTAAAGTCCTCACCAAAAAACAACTGTCATGGTTATGTCATGGTTATCAAACTGGGCAGTGTAGACATTACAAACATTACAAAGGAAAATTGAAGAGGGCAGAAGTAGGCTACATACACAAATTCCAGTGTATGTCTAAAGGATTAAATAAAGAACAAGGATTCTTAGCACAGTATAGCTGAAATTCTTTTGCACAGCTGTGTCTGTGTAACAATGATGAGTTTGATCAGTGATGAACTGCCTATGATCAAAGGCTTCCTCGGAGGATTCTGGGTACATGTCACTTTATCACACTGTGTACAAGTCAAGTGCACCTGGAAATTGCCTTTAATTAGTGCTAAACTCATTTCTATTAAATTCACAGACCTGTGCAAGAAGATTTCAGCCTATTTATATTAATAAACTAATTTTATGTAACATCTTATGTATGAAATAGTTGTTTTCCTTGCCATGCTCTGCCTTAGAAACAATCTCTAGCATTTTCATGACAGCTAAATTTACTGATACACAGCTAATCACTCATCCTGCAGTTTTCAATAATTAATAGTCTCACTGACAGCCTCATTGCTGTGTTACCTATACATTGTCATTTTATCTCCTGGCTGTATCTTCAGTGAGTCATGATCTTGACAAGACAGGGATATATGGAAATGTAGATAGCACAGTATGAGCATTTAATGTGTCTGAGGAAGTGGATGTTGGTTCATGAATGCTCACACTGAAATAAATCTATTATTTTTTGTAGCCTGCATAATTAAATTGTAAATCGCTCTTTAGGGCTTTTAGCACTATGGGATGGTATATAAGCAGGACACTTTGTTTGCTTTTACTTTTAAAACCAACAACATTCTGTCCTTAGCTTCCCTTTTCCTTTCTCACCTTTTATTTGGTCAATAAGCTGAAATAAGACTCACACAGCTACCTCTTTGGAATACAGGAAAAAGAAACAGCACCTAGCAAATATGTATTTATCATATGAAGTTTGTAACATAATGGAAATCTTATTTCTGTAATAAAAGTCCTAAAATCTACAGGTTTTTAATAATTAAATATTGTGTAAAATTTACAAATTATATTAGTTTTAACTGAAAATTTTAATTTGGAGCAAGGGAGAGCAATTTTGGTCCTTCCAATCATTTTGGCCTACAACTCCCCTTAGTCCTAGCCAGCACAGCCAATAATCAGGCATTATGTAAGTTACAGTTCAAAAACATCAGACCACAAGTGCCCATGTCTTTGATTAATAGATACCCAAGGTATTAGCTTTTCTCCTTAATAAAGACATAAGCAACTGAAATCCAGCAGCAAGTAGTAACCAAAGACCTATTGAATCAGCAGAATTTAGGGAGTAGTTTACTTACTAAATCCCCACAGCTTAAATGGGCCTACTCTAGTTGCAATTTATTACTGGCTCTCAGCCACTATATTGTATAACAATGAATACAAACAGAATGGTTTACAAATGAGGGAAACCAAAGTAATCATATTGTAATAATTTCTATTTTAATCATATGACATGCTCAGCCTAATCAAGCATGCAGATGATTTGGATATAGAAGCACGGTTCTTTATGTGTTGCATAAGGTAACTTCCCTTTCCAAAGGAGAATTCTCTCAGCCTGATTTCCACCTCTCACCAAGCAACCAAGGCTGGTAAAGCTGATTATATCAACTAGATATTGTGGGATGCTCTCAAGGACATCCTAAGCCTTATTTATTTTTATTTATTTATTTATTTGACTTATATACCGCCCCATAGCGCTACAAGCACTCTCCGGGCGGTTTACAATTTTTAATTATACAGGCTACACATTGTCCCCCCAGCAAGCTGGGTACTCATTTTACCGACCTCGGAAGGATGGAGAGTCGAGTCAACCTTGAGCCGGCTACCTGGGATTTGAACCCCAGGTCGTGAGCACAGTTTTAGCTGCAGTACAGCGTTTTAACTACTGTGCCACGAGGCTCTTAGCAAAAATTAGAATAGAATAGAATAGAATCTGCTACTGCACTCAAGAAGCTATTGCTTAGGATTACCAAACATAAAGCAAACAATATTCCATCACCTTAAATACTGAATGCACTAAATGTAAAACAGAATGAAATTGAATAAAACATTATCTATATAGTGCTATTAACACTGAGACACAGTCTTTTTAATCACAGTGTACTCACAGTTCATTGCTCAACTTATGATAAAACAAACAGTTAAGAAGAGTGTTTATGGTACAGTTTTTAAAATTTGCGAATGTCTACTATTTCAATTACTGGTCCTTTTGGATGTGAGAGGGATATATAGATGGATTCATAATAAAAGAAGCAGCTGATTCACATTTAAGAATGGTAATTCTATCTTTTGATACTGCTGGCCATGTTCCTTGGAAATATTCCTTTAGTATGTGAGGAGATACCCTCTATGGAATAGTAAAAAAAATCAGCTCACAATTTGCAGGAACAAAATGCAGTCTAGCAACTTATGACGGACATGGTTTTAACATTTGACAGCTAGATTCATTGTTGGTTTAACAGCCAATCACTGGTTTTGACGACACAAGCCTAATGAAGGGTTGGAATATAAAAAGCCCTCTTGGAATATACAAGATTCACCAGAGTAGTGAGTTGTCTCAGATTGCATTTGCCTTCAGTGATTCACAGAGTACTGAAAGATTAAAAAAGAACTAAAGGAAAGAGAAAAAGAAAAGAAGAAAAAGGACTGCAGTGAATGTTAGATCATGCAAAAGTTTAAAAGGTATCTTTATATTTACCTTCTTGTATTAATCATACCTGGTCCAGTGGATTTAAATGAAAACAACCAGGCAAATGAGAACATAGAAAAAGATGGACCATGCAATGCATGTACATGGAGGCAAAGTACAAAATCTTCAAGAATAGAAGCTATAAAAATTCAGATCCTCAGTAAACTGCGTCTGGAACAAGCACCTAACATTAGTCGGGATGCTATAAGGCAACTTTTACCTAAAGCTCCTCCACTACAAGAACTAATTGATCAGTATGATGTTCAGAGAGATGATAGCAGTGATGGCTCTTTGGAAGATGATGATTACCATGCTACTACTGAAACTATTATTACAATGCCTACAGAGTGTAAGTACTGTATCACTTTATAAAATACTGCTCTACTGATTTTTGTGTTAGAAGCAACAAGCTCCTTTTAATATTCTCTAATAAACTGTTTATTGAAGCATGCAAGCGGGGATAGAAGAACATATTTGAAATAATTTGAATAATGGTATTTTCCCCTTATATATAATATCTACTACACATTATATATATCTAATGCAATATGTAATATATAAGAAGCATTCCCATCAACCATTGCTGAAAAGGTGAAGAAAAAGACATTTAATCTTATTTTTTTCAATACTTTAGTAGGGCATTTGTGCAAAGTTTCAGAAAAATAAATGACAGGAATATTATAAAGATAACCTTTTGAAGACACCTGTTTTTAAGAATTTGCTGAAAAGTGGATAGAATTGAAAATGTTAAACATTTAACTTCGGTGCCCTCATATATTATGTTTTCACTATACAGGTATATCAATTAGAATTATGCCATGTTTTGAGTATGAAAAACATGAAAAATGCAGTCCCCAATCTACAGTTTTCGCATCTTTCAATGCTTTTTAATGTCATTTTTCTCCTTCTCTTTTGGCATTTTAAAACAACCACCACCACAAAATAAACTCTTGCTTCTGCTCCTTTTTGTGATTCTGGCCAATAATTGATAATATAATACACCTTCAAGACATTACAGAAGCATAAAACCAATTATATTTGGCCACATGGTGGTGTGAACAGAGCTGCTTTGCTCTCAGTTTGAAATTCCAATTCAGCTTCAACGTCTCTCAAAGCACATTTAAACATGCATCATATTGAAAGCAATACAGTATAGACAGCCAATATCCTATGTACTATAACTCCACTGTGGCATAGTAGTTTCTTCATTAATAATTATTAATTGTGTCCTGTCAAGTTTGTTCTGACTTAGGGCACCGCTTTCTAGAGTTTTTTTTAGATACAGAGTAGAGTACTCAGAAGTCGTTTACCATTTCCTTCTTCTGGGGGCACTCTGACACCATGCAAATAGACCAAAGCTACACAGGCTGGCTTTTCTCGGACAACACTTAGTGGGAAATCAAACTCCAGCTTCTGACTCTGCAGCTGGAGACCTAACTCACTAGGTATCTGAGCTATTCAGCCAGCCGTTTCTTCACTGGCAATGTGACCACGTAAACAAACAAGCAACAAACAAGATTTTATCCAGTTCTCATCGGGGACACACCCTTACTATTACAAAAACACTGGAGCACTCCGCATTCCCTGAAATTACTGAACATGATTGATAAGGAATTTTTTGAGAGTTGCAGAAATGTTCACAACACTGCACTCAAGCCTGGTGTAAATATGTTTTCATCTAATCTCATAGGGCTGTTGACAATTATTAATGAAACAACCTATATCTTTATATTACCATAAACACAAATGAAATATCAACAGTGCAATCTTTTAAGTATTGAATGAATGAACAATTTAGCAATTCTATTATTTGTGTTATAGAGGAATGAAAAGATTTACTGAATGAGCAGATTTCTGAGTTTCTCCAGTTTCTTAGTGCTAGGCACCTGGCATGACTCCTATCAAGTATCTTTTGCACAGATTATATTATAGCATCTTATGTTCTTAATTAGCTAAAGTATTTGGCTGTGGCAGCAATTTTCATTATAGCATTTAAGATGACGATGAAATGATATGAAATGAAAATCTGGGCACATATGACTTAGATTTGCTACAGGCAGCATAGTGAAATACATATCTCTGAGTTAATTTGGTTTGGCATTATAGAAAGTCCAATAAATTCAACATCCGTCAAAAAGTGTTGTGGGACCTTAAAGATCAACATATTCTATCTGTAACAAGCTTTTGTGGGCAGTAGCCCTTCTAAACAGGAAACGACAGCTGATTCTTTCTCTTTATATAAAGATATTTTAGGAATTGACTTAGAAAGATGTTACATGACACAGTCTTTTTTCAGGCTGAGTACTCTGAACAGTGTGTTCAGTATCCCTGGTGATTTTAAGTGGGGTGAGGGGAGTGTATTTCAGAGAGTGATTTGTACAGCTGGTCAGCTAGTATAACTACATAGCCTCCGGAAGACTCCTTGGGTATATTCCTTCTCATAGGTCACTAAAATTATAAATATAAGCCTCATGTCTTCACCAGAAATCAATATAAGGACTCAAAAAGTATATGCTACCAACACTTTTTTGTAAGAATATTTTAGGCATAACTTTGAAAGTAATAGTTCTAAAGGGAGAGAAAATTTATTTTTCTAGAATATCTAAAGTAAATAGATATGTAAATAAATTACACATTTGTCACAACATTTTAATTTTTTCCCCAGTCTTCAAATTATCTGAATATTTTTCTCACCTTCCATACAATTCAGTGGATCTGTTTCTTTTCAGGATAATCTAAAACATCCTAAACTTCTGGCATATCATGTGTTGCTTTAATAAAAACATTCATCATCGTTATCAGAATCTCAAAATTCTAGATTTATTCTTTTCTCCTCTTTTGATTCCCTGCCATCTGTCCAATTCTTCTGTGGTTTTAATTGTAAAAGTTAGCTTTAAAATGACATATAAATTATCTTTAAAATAAGTTTTAAGAAACAAGCCCTAAAGAAACCACTATATTTTATGAGTACTGTAAGCTGCTTTAGAAATTCTATTTAAAAACATAGGAGGTAGATTTAACTTAGTACAAAAAAAAATGATGCACATAAGGCCACAATCTATTGTCAAGGCACTGTTTTAAATTTCAAAAATGATTGCCTCAGTTCTAGACCAGGACAGAGCAGATTATATACTGCACGCATGAATAAACAGAGCACAGGGCATACACTCTGAAATATTTGTATGGGATATAATATGTATTTCTGTATATATTCCTTATTATTGGATGTGACCTTTTCCTCTTTCCCATGCAGTATGTTTATGCATGTCTGGCACTTCAGTCTTTCTGGGCAATAATGTTTTCACACACAAGTAGACTGGGTATAAAATTTTGTTACATATGTTAGGAGGTATAGCTAACTGTGACAAAAGAAGGATTGGATGTTTATTAAAATATAAACTCTCTGATTCTATCTCTGGCCCTAATATGGTAAATAGGAAAACCAATTAGATTTGCATATACCTGGGAAGCAGGAAATTTTTAAGGGTCGGATCATACTTCTGCACTATTAAAGAGCAGGCCGGGTAGGTGGGGCTCATCAGCCATGGAAGGCAGCCCATCTAGGAGAAGGAAAACTTTGATTTCAAACCTCCACTGCCTTGTAGCTATATCCACTCATGGAAAAGGCTTCAGGAGTTAACCTAGAGGCAAAATCCGGAGCTGGAGTCCTGAAGGCAGTTCGTGTTGTTCTGCCAACTCCTGCGACGTTGCTGGAACCAGTTGTATTGGCTCTTGCCTTTCCATTGGACCATTTCAGCAATGTGAAGAGGGGGGATCTGCTGCTTGGGTAACAGCCTATCCTCCATATTACTTTACCCAGGCTTCATGCTCTGGAAAGGAGACTCCTTGATTCAGAGCATGTTACCACAGTCTCTCGAGACTGAAGGATGCCTATGCGAACATGGTGGGAGGGATAGACCTAGAAGGCTTTTAAAATGGATATACTTTATGCATTGTCTCACTAGACAAGGGCAAGCGCCACTTTTACAAATCACAAGTTATTGCTACGAAGTCCTACGAAGCCATTTAGAAACACCATTAATTTTAATGCTTTATTTTTCAAATGTTTCTGGTTGCTTGCAAACATGTAATGTTTTCTATCCATTCATTTATAGCTGATTTTCCTATACCAGTGGAAGGAAAACCAAAATGTTGCTTTTTTAAATTTAGTTCTAAAATACAGTATAATAAAGTAGTGAAGGCCCAGTTGTGGATATACTTAAGACAAGTCCAAAGGCCTACAACAGTATTTGTGCAGATCCTGAGACTCATCAGACCCATGCAAGATGGTACAACTTCTACTGCAATACGATCTTTGAAACTTGACATGAACCCAGGCACTGGTATTTGGCAGAGCATTGATGTGAAGAGTGTGCTGCAAAACTGGCTCAAACAACCTGAATCCAACTTGGGCATTGAAATCAAAGCACTGGATGAAAAGGGAAGAGATCTTGCAGTAACATATCCAGGACCAGGGGAAGATGGCTTGGTAAGCTACATATGAAAACCTACAGGAACATTCTTTTCGTTTAGCATTTGCAAATGAGATTTAATTTATATTAATAAAATAGGCATGTTCTAAGCCTGTGGCCATATGCATTGTCTTTTCCAATACTTGCTTCCAGATAAATCTGATTAGCTTTACAATGTGAAAGTTCCTGAAAGTCATTGTCCTAAACCTTACTGGTAATTATAGTAGGGTTACTGAATCATTGGGAACTCCGTGAGTCACCATTTATGTAACTTCTGTCAATTGGATGGGTTGAGACTACCAATTGTATTTAAGCCATAGAATCAAGAGATTGGACATTTTACCTGCTTTCTAACAGTTTAAATAACCATTATGCATGAATGCAATCCATTTTCCTATCTATTGCATTTTCTATCTACAACATGTTTATGTAATTAAGTCACAAAAAGGGACATTCAGTTCTTAACAGTACCTTCCACTGTGAATTGCTAGGTTTTTAAGGGGCAAATTTTCATAGCCTTTATATTCAGTTAACAAAATAATAATAATTGCTCTCCAGTTTCCTGTTTCTATATAACTATGGTGAGTTAGGCAACAGTTACTATAGCTAGCACATTCAAGCAAACATTACAATAAATATGGAATAAGAACATTTTAAAAAGCTGTTGTTCCCCACCGGAGTACTGTCTTTGATAATGGATGTATTATATTGCCATAATGAGCAGCAGTCAAAGACAGCTTTATCCCATATGAATGTGCTTAATCCCTGTTTAAAGCCATCTAAATTGTTGGCCATCATCAGATACAGCACCAGTAATTTTCATAGTGTGCTGCCTGAATAAGTATTTCCTTTTGTACTCTTGAATCTCCTACTGTTCAGCTTCATTTAATGACCCTAGGTTCTACTATTATAAGAAAAGAAGAAAAACTTCCCTCTAACCAATTTCTCCATATCTGAGGACAACTCAATAGAAGGCATTTTACTATATTGTTAGGAATAACTAGTCTAGTCTTTTTGTGGAAGCATCTGTAATTGCAAGTTTTAGAAAACGATGTGGCTTCAATGAAGTCAGTGATGTGCAGAAAAATGAATTGCCAGCTAGCAACTCCAGATACACTTTAGTTTGTACTCTTGTAATGCTACTCCCTCTGGCAATATTGTTTATTTAATCTAGACTCAGATGTTTTTAGAGAAGGCACAGACATATGAAAAAAAATTAAAATAATGAGAAATATTAAAGAGAATTCAACATTTTCATTCCTTTACCAAGGAATTCACACCTGTTCAAATGATCTCTATAGAAACAACAAGAAACTATAGGTGCTTCCAGATGGATGGTTTCTAGCACTATCACTTAATTACCTTTATCATGATCCATCATATAACTCCACAAATTGAGTTTTCCTGTATCTAAATATGTGCTCCTTCTCAAAGCATCACTGAACTTATAACTATTTTTGGGGTGTTAAACATGCCCGAAGGATTCAGTGCTCCTCTTTACTGCATCTAGATAACAAGCGAAGCAAGCCACCCTTCCCAAATCTTCATTGTATTTCTGCTCACAAATACAGTGGTGCCTCGCTTAACGGGTGCCCCGTTTAACAACGAATCCGCATACCGATGCGGATTTTGCGATCACAAAAGCGATCGCATTGCGATGTTCCCTATGGGCCCCATTTTCCCCCAGCTGACCGGCGGGGGCATCGGAAGGACCGCGGGGGAGCTTCTCAAGCTCCCGCCGGTCAGCTGGGGGAAAATGCCGGCGGGAGCTTGAGAAGGACCGCAGGGGAGCCATCTTCCTCCGACGAGGCGGCGGTGTGCGCTCATTCCCAGGCCAGCTGCAAGCGGCGCTTTGGCCGACTCGCTCCTCCTGGGGCGGCGGCGGCAACAGGGGAAGGGAAAGGGCCGTGGCGCGGCCGGGCGCCTGGCTCCGCCTCCCCCTCTTCTTCCAAAAGCCGGCAGCCGTCGGCTTGCTCTTCCCGGGCCAACGGAGGGGGAAGGGGGAAGGGAAAGGGCCCTGGTGCCTGCCTCCCTGTCTCCCGCTTCCCCTCCTCCTCTTCCTTGGGAGACTCCTTCTGAAGGGCCCGCTGGCCAGCTGGGGGGAAATGCCAGCTGATCGGCAGTTCCAAAATGGCCACCCGCTGTTTCCTGGATGGACTCCTCGCTTAAGAGGCACCGGAAATGGCTGCCCCTATGGCAGATCCTCGCTGAACGGTGAGTTTTTGCCCCATAGGAATGCATTAAACAAGGTTTAATGCATTCCTATGGGGTTTTTCTTTCCGTTTAGCGATGTTTCCAGATAGCGACATTAATCCTGGAACGGATTAACGTTGCTATGCGGGGCACCACTGTAAAGTGCTTTATGTATTTGTGAAGGCTTTCATGGCCGGGATCTAATGGTTGTTGTGGGTTTTTCGGGCTGTTTGGCCGTGTTCCTCCTAACGTTTCGCCAGTCTCTGTGGCCAGCATCTTCAGAGGACAGCACCAGTGCTCTGGTGTACAGTGGTGCCTTGCATTATGACGTTAATTCGTTCCAGCGAAATCGCTGTAGAACAAAAACGTCGTAAAGTGAAATTAAAAAGCCCACAGAAACACATTAAAACCCATTTAATGCATTCTGATGTGCTGGAAACTCACAGTGCAGCGAAGATCCTCCATAGGGGGGCAATTTTCGCTGCCTGTGCAGCAAGAAATCCGTCCCAGAAAACAGCGGGGGGCATTTTGTTTACCCGGTGGCCATTCTGAAACCGCTGATCAGCTGTCCGAAAATCATCGTTTTGCGAAGACTCCGTTCCCGAAGCAGGGAACCAATCATTGCAAAGTGAAATTCCCCCATAGGAAACATTGTAAAGCGATCGCAAAAAGTTCGTTGTAATGCGGTTTCGTCGTTAAACGGAGCAATCATAAAGCGAGGCACCACTGTAGTTTGCCAGCAAGCCTCCGAACGGAAAAAGGCAGGGGAAGAGGGTGGGAAATTCAAAAATGGTGCTAGGGAAGTCTTCAGAGGCTTGCCCAGCACCATCGGAGGACTGCCGGGGGACCTCTGAAAGTGGTGATCGCAGTTGCAGGGGACCCCCACCAGTCCTCCAATGGTGCTTCCTCAGCTCCCTACCTGGTAAGTGACTTTTTCAGAGTTTTTTGGCCCATTGGAATGCATTAATTAAATTTCAATGCATTCCTATGGGAAAACGCACCTCGCAAGAAGAAAATTTCACAAGACAGGTCTCAAAGAACAAATTATTTTTGTCTTGTGAGGCACCACTGTAGAATTCCATTTTCTAGCTCAAGTGCTGCTGCCCTATCAGGCACTTCAGGCATAGCAGGTTCACATTCCTCCAACTCTCTGGCACTGATGGAAAGTGTATCCAAGTTTTGACTGAATGAGTCCACTGACTCTGCCTTATTGGCCAAGCCATTGACATGGTAACCATTGATGCTGTCCTTCTCTGATGAAGCTGCAGATTGTTCCTCTTCAACGGATGTTGGCTTGCTTGGATCAGGAAGACTGGCACTTCTGTAGGAGCTTTTGGTTTAGTTTTCTTCTTTTTCTTTGTAGTTATTATTCCTTACAGTGGGGTCTTGACTTGAGAACTTAATCCGTATTGGAAGGCGGTTCTCAAGTCAAAAAGTCTGTAGGTCAAGTCTCCATTGACCTACAGTGCATTGAAAACCGATTAATCCCGTAACAGGCCGTTTTTGTTCCATTTTGGTTTTTTTCTGGTCTGTAAGTCAATTCTCAGGCTGCAAGTCAAACCTAAATTTTGCGGCCAGAGAAGTCTGTAACTCAAAAAGTCTGTAAGTCAAGCCGTCTGTAAGTCAAGGGTCCACTGTGTTTCAACACTGCATTGGCACTTCCTTCCATGAAAGACTATCTAGTCCGCATGGTGATCAGAGTGCTGATACACTAAAATAATGCCATTTTTGCTGTGGTTGGAGATTCTTGGTCTTCTGGCACTGATCTTTTCTTTCATGTTTTCGAAGGTACCTCCTTAGGCCATTACAGTAATGAACTGTATACAATAAAAAGAAATCCTGATGAATCCTTTACTTCTTGGACATAACAGTTTAACTGTGCTGAGAATACACAGTGAAGAATCTGTTTCCATAAATACTAGAGAGTTTCAGGTGTTTTTCAAGTGATCCTTTGTATAAAGGCCAGAAATGCCAAATATTTTAATGCCAATCTTCTGTCACAAAGCAGAAACATGTTGCTGTTTTTCAGGTTCCTACAACAAAGATCCCCAATCATTGCTCTCACCACCTATTTATAACTATACAATATTTATTTGAGAAATTTGGTATATTAAGAACAAAAGGAAGTCAGGATTTTAAAGACCAACAACCTCCCTTTAACACATTCCTATTTTCTTATTTTGCATTTCCTTTTTACTCCCTACTGTAGTTTTGATTTGAGGGAAATTTGGAAGTTTGCCATTATGCAGATGCCTTCAAGCCCTTCTAATGGGGTAATTGAAAAATTAATGGTTATGATCCAAAGATCCCCTCTCTTTACATAGTCTTCAGTCATGAACTTTAGAATTCTTAATGGAGTTTTTAAATGTTTGTTTGCAACCAACTATGTCCCTTAGCCAATCCATCACTGGCACAATGGATTTCTCCTCTTCCTACAGATTGCACATAACCCCATATATCTTCTGGAAAGTCAGGGATCTCTGCAGCAGATTTGGAAGGGGAGGAGGGAGGAAGAACAAGTCCCACTGCATGAATGGAAATATGGTCACTTGACATCAGAAATACCCGATTCTTTGAAAATCATGCTATATAATGAACTGCTAGTGAAACTACTTTGTATAAAGCATACCGTAGTTTCCATTATAGTAAGGGGGATGGTTACTTCTGTTCAAGATAAACAAGTCTAAAACCTCATTGGATTCATGGAGATAGCTGCATATTTCCTTCAATTCCACACTAAAAAATAAGTTTTTAACAACCATGGATGAACATGCAGAGTAAAAGAAATGTAAAATGGATTTATTTTACAAGTATTACCACATGCAATTTTAAAAGAGTATTTCTTAAGGATAAGGGGGGAGAGTTTGTATTATGAAATTATAGCATTCAAATGCTAAGCTAAGTTTAGGGGGGAAATGTTTGGTCTAATCCAGTTGTCACAGCATTGGTACTTTCTTCAAATGTAATTCCTTTTCCTTTTTTCATAGAATCCATTTTTAGAGGTCAGGATTACAGACACACCAAAGAGATCACGTAGAGATTTTGGTCTTGACTGTGATGAACATTCAACAGAATCTCGCTGCTGCCGTTACCCACTGACTGTGGATTTTGAAGCTTTTGGATGGGACTGGATAATTGCACCCAAAAGATACAAAGCAAACTATTGCTCAGGAGAATGTGAATTTGTTTTTTTACAAAAATACCCACACACTCATCTTGTACATCAAGCAAATCCAAGAGGCTCAGCAGGCCCTTGCTGCACACCTACTAAGATGTCCCCAATAAATATGCTGTATTTCAACGGAAAAGAACAAATAATATATGGAAAGATACCAGCCATGGTAGTAGATCGTTGTGGGTGCTCATGAGCTCTTCATTAGGTTTGCTACTCCATAAAATATTCCCTTCAGCAATTTCTGAAACTGTGAATTTTTGTACAATAAGCCTACTTCTAATAGGCTATATTCTAGGTTATCAAAAAGATTTCTTACCAGAAAAAAACTACAGTACGTGAACTGAAGGACCTTTTAATGAAAGTGCTGGTTTTTAACCAGTGAAAAAGAGAAGCTACAATCAAACTTACAGGATTTCACAATGAATTACTCATTCTGGAAAGAGATCTGTTTTCACATATGTAAACAATATAATCATATACAGCAGGTAGAAATAGATAAAAACAACCTCCTTCTATTCCAAAGAATGCAAAGGAATGACCTATTAAATATAGTCTGAACAGTTTAATTTACTGTTCCATTTACATTAAAGGATATATACTGGTGACAGATAGAGTGAATAGAGTACCACTGGATTGTCCTCAAACACTTGAATAAGTTTAGAGTTTTAAAACTGATAAGATGAAATTCCACAAAACAGAAACGTCCACAAATTAGGGTAGGTACATTGTGTTTCCATTCCGTTTATAATTAATATGCTCATTACTTTCTGTCAATGGTGCTATCACAGTAAACTTTCAGTCTAATCCCAATAATTGCTGTAGGAGCCAATAACCAGAGATTGGGGTGTGCTAACAAGTATACCTCCAATGGCCAGAATCCAAAAACAAGCCCTTCTCAGTTTCATCCCCCTCCCTCTTTGCTTTAAAAATCTGCTTCAGCTCAGATGGACTAGAGAACCTTTCAGAGCAAGTACTGTATCTGGGCAGCATGGAGGGCTGCAAGGAGGAGGGGAAGAAATTCTCACGAGTAGCAGTTGCACAATATTGATTTTATAGCATAGTAACAAAACTAGATGTGCTAGAACTGCAGACACCATGGAATCAAGATGGTGATGGTAATCCCTCTTTTCTCAAGTATAATGTATTAATTATCTACAAGCAATGAGGATTTCTTGAGGGATTGTTGGCTTTAGCGGATATCCACATTACAGAGAGTGATAAAAGGAAAAATTGTCCACATTGCAGCATTACAGTTTGCACTATGAAAAACCAATGGATAGAATTAATAAGTACAGTATTGTAAAAACAAAACATTGATATATTACTAAGTTTGTGTAATGTGTATATGTATATGTACATATATACACATACAATATTTTATTGTAAATAAATGTTTGTTTTTTAATTTCTTATGAAAATACCATGAATATATGGGGCAACAGGTTTTGGACTAGCTTGTTCTATCATGTACAGTTACATTTCTAACAATGATAGAAGTTATTTTTTCCTTGTGCAGCCAGTATGCTATGATCCAGTGTATATTTTTGTGCTCCTGAGAGCTGTGACATACATATGAAGTTCCCTGCCTCAATTACTGTTCCACTCATCTGTTGTACACTTGTTGCTCATATGGGTTCTGCTAAATTAATTTAAAATGAATGACAAAGCCTGTATGTAAGCATTCCATGTGAATATAGATTAGTGGATCAGAGCAATTGTGAATATAATTACTTCCAGATCAGCAATGTAATCCGCAGGACAAGTATATAGTTATTTTTCTTCTTTCTTATATTTGTAAAATACAGAAGGAGAATAAATGGGGCACATTATTGGTTGGAGCCAAATATGTCTTTCCATGTGTGGAAGGGAAAGTTATTTCATGCTAAAGCATTGTACAATAAAATTGAACAAAATCCCAAGATGTCCTTCCACTTGCAAAGACCTTGCATAGAGAATCTAATTTTTATATCAGTATGTGAAGCTGAATTCTTGCATAAGTATTTTTAGAACTTCACTAATAACTAGTTTTGCTCAATTTGATTCCAACCCAATCAATTATAAATTTTGTATTGATTCAGTTGAAACATTAAATTTCATACTTTTAGTAATATATCAATATACTGTTAACAACAAACCCCCTTAATATGTTTATTAATTGTATTTTTCTTAAAATCTAAAATCGTACAAATATTTTATTACCTTTATTTTATAAGTATGTAATAAACTTCAATTTCCACACATTACTGTATATTTTGCTCAGCATTATCAGTAATTTTTAATTAAAACAAAATCTACCTATTTCCTATTCAGGGACGTTCTTTTCAAATGTGAAAGATTATTGAAAACATGCTTAATGTTCAATAATTGCTATAATTTCTGTTAAAATATTTTCATTTTTGTACAATATCAAATCTCTATTTGTTGTATTCTGGATTCAGTTTATTGTTTCATTTTCATGAAATTACAGCAGAGTATCAATCGCTTTGTTTTCTTCTCTTCTCTACTGTATATATAACAAAAGCAGACTTTTTCTAATATTTAAACTGGATTAAAAATATTTTTCTGAATTGTATTTAGTTGTCACAATTTAAATGCCTATTAGTGATGCACTGTTCTGGGTGCTCCAGATGAGGCTTTTACCCATCCTCACTGATTTCTTCCTGGGTTCTTCTTCCACGCATGATCTACCCCCTTGTTTTTCCACCATTTCTTCCATCTTTTTTCTTACCAGAGAAAGTCTGTTAAGGAGAAAGAGTTGGAAAAGCGGTACAAAGACTTCTTACTATTAGTGTGAAGAGCCCTTCATCTGGAAACACCCCAAAATCCAAAAATAATACATGCATGTAAAACTCTTATTGACAGTGAAGCTGCTGACTTCCTCTTCTGGCAGCATCACCTCAAGCTTAATGGAATGTTACTCTGGAAACAGCTATGTGCGACACTGCAAGAGGAAAGTGGAAAGGAATGGCTGGAAACCCCTTATGTATGTGCGGAAGAAGACAAATGGTCTTTCTGGATCCTAGCCACAGGATTCAAGGAGACTTAAATATGTCTAGCTCTCTAAGCCTACCATAGCCAGAATTTGTAATACTAGAGAGACGGATTAACTAAATGGCATACCGTATTTTTCCGTGTATAAAATGACACTTTTCCTAAAACAATTAGAGGAGAAATTGATGGTCGTTTTATACACGGAAGGAGGTAGAGGCAAAAGAGCAGTCGCACGCGTGTTTGGGCGCCTCTTGCTGCTGCTGGTGCCCAATTGCCTCCTCCAGGGCTCATGGTTTGTCCCCTCCGGTAACGGAATCAGCAGGAGGCGGAGGCAAAGCAGTTGCACTGGAGGAGGTGATCAGGCGGGCAGCAGAGGCATCAGCAGCAGGAAAGACTGAGGTGGAGGAGCAGTTGCCCATTAACTGCTCCTCCGTCTCCAGCAAGAGTCAACATTAGGGGGTGGTTTTATACATGGGGGGGGTCGTATACACAGAAAAATACAGTATTTTCTACACGCTCTGGTAGCTGATATTGCAACAAATGTAGCTGTATCCATGAGAATACACTGCTTCCCCGAAATTAAGACCTAACCTGAAAATAAGCCCTAGTTTGATTTTTCAGGATGCTCATAATATAAGCCCCACCCAAAAAATAATCCCCAGTTAAGTGAAACCCTGCCCTCCACTATTGTGCAGCAACCAGAGGAAGATGACAAGACTGTCTTTGAATAAATATAGATTGTTTTAAATGAAAAAAAAAACATGCCCTGAAAATAATCCATCTAGAGTGGTCTTAACCGACCAGATAGGCGGGATATTAAATAAACAAACAAACAAATAATACCTAATGCATTTTTGGGAGCAAAAATTAATATAAGACCCTGTCTTATTTTTGAGGGAACACAGTGTATCATTGGCCAGAATCAAATTAGATTGTTCTACCATGGAATTGTTTCTATTAGTGGAAGAGAGATTCTTGGTTTTCGGGTGGGGCTGGAGTGAAACTGCTAGTCTCTTCTGTTTTCATCAGCTGGTGCCAACTCAGTTTATGAGTTGTGGTACTGCTACTTTCTATTACTCTTTCTCCACTGTTCAATGTTTTTTTTTAAAAGGCCAGATTCATCCTGCAGAGCTCAACTGGTATAGTGTGGGAAATATCATCACCACCAACAGATTGCTTCTAATTAAAGTTCCTTTTCCAGTTGTGGAGTGCACACAACTTCCATCCAATGAGACAAAATCATGCACACCCTCAAAGTGAAAAAATGACCCATTTAGTTAGCAGGAATCTGCCAGGGGCATCTTTCCCACATTTAGGGCATCATCTGGCTATTTAAAACTTGGCATCTTTTTTCCTGCTGGCCATTTGGGCATGATATGGTGTAACAATATTGGGCCATTTCTTGCAGTTCTGAACAGCAGAGACAGAAGCACAATAGGCCACATTCATAAACTGAAGGTTTTTTATGAGTTAAATTTACATTCAGAACTCTGTGTGTGTGTGTGTGTGTGTGTGTGTGTGTGTGTGTGTGTGTGTGTGTGTGTTGTGTGTGTGTGTGTGTGTGTGTGTGTGTGTGTGTGATATATACAAATACAAATGCATGCTGTTTGTATGCTTGTGTTTACTTGACCTGAAGAAGTAGCTTCATGTAGTATTGTTCACCCTTAACCTCCCCTTCCCCCATAAGCAAGCACTGAGAAATCACAGTTTTTCTTTAAAATATATCTGGAGTTCCCAAGCACTGGTGAAGTAATGATTAGAACAGGTGAGGTAATTATCAGTCAAAAAGTAGAAATCCAAATTAGCAAATCCCATTGGGAACCAACTCTTTCTTTGCATACATGGATGTGACTGCAAAATTCTGTTCGTATCGCAGTACACTATTTTTTCCCTTGGCAAGGACAAAGGAAAAGTGTAGCACAATAACTTATTGTTGTTTGGTCCACTTCTCTCTATCTGTTGGTTTGTGGGGAGCCCTTTTCCCCTGTCACTCTAAACTTCAATAGAAAGGATGCCTAATTTTTTTTTTTATTTTTTTATTTTTTTGCTTTGCTTTTCTGTTTCATGACACTGTAAAAAACACCAAAGTAACAGTCACTTGTTTAGGAGCTCTTCTGAGTGTTTAAAACCTGAATTGTCATAGTGAATATGGCCTGGATGGGGGCAGAGGGAGACAGAACAATATGAAGTCATAATGAATTCAGGGGAGCTGAATTAGTACCTGAACTGAATTGGGGGATTTATGCATTAAAAAGAAGTAACAGCTCACATATATCTTTTTATGCTTCTTAACCTATGCTTATAATGGCACTTTCCCCCCTCATCCTCTCAGTACTGACTTTAAAATGCATGTCTTAGATTTTTTTCCCTCTCAGCTCTCTCAGTGCTTGACTACTTAATTCTTTGACTTTCTCTTAATCCTTTCCCTAACAGAAAAAGTACCCCTCCCCTCCACAGAATTGTGAGAGCTGAACCTCAACCGATAATGATGTTGTTGACTACTCAAAGCTCCCCTTCCTTTTCTTTCTGAGGTATGTCTTCTGCACTGGAAAATATTAGTTCACTACCTTTCTTAAGGACCATTTCCCTGTTGCCTTAGGGTAAATTGGATGTCCCTAATCTTCACAATCTGTGACAACAGAGGTCCTGTTGACCTTGGAGCAATATGCCTCTTACATTTTAAAAGTTCCTCTCGGCAACTGTAGATCAGCAATCTCAGGCTCAAGGGATGGGTTTTTCCTTAGGAAGCAACTAATTTCCTCTAGCAGACTTCTGTGATGTCTGCCCTCCACCAGGCTGTCATATGCATGGCACTGTAAAATACAGTGGATAGTACTGCCAGTCCTGCTGGCTTTAGACTGGTATTGTTCAGGTGGCTTTCACATTTTACTTCATTTTTTTGACAGAAGAGGACTGACTGCTCTGACCTCCTTATTCTATTGCTAAACTTACACAAATGGTTAACTCATCTGACTGCTTCCCATTTTTCTTGACATTTTTTTAATCAACTAGATTTGCAGGAATTCTGTTACTGATAATATCAAACAATATGCCTAGCTGAGTGGAGAGGGAAAATCTATATGGATAATGTAGCAATAAATGTGGTCTTTAGCTGGAAAAAGTGATAAATGTAATCTACTTTAACTACCAGGATATCAACTGGGAAACCAACTCTGCAGCAAGTGGAAGATCCAACAGGTTCCTGACATGCCTGGCTGACAACTTTATCATCCAAAAAGTGGAGGAGGGGAACTAGAGGGTCAGCCATACTGGACTTAATACTTACTAATAGGGAGGAAATAGTTGAGGGAGTGGAAATTGTAGGAATTTTAGGAGAAAGCAACCATGTCATATTAGAATC